ACCTTCTTCTAAGTTTTCAATCCTTAGCTATAAAAGTTGAACATTTATGCATTTTAGTTTCTGAGTGGGAACGATGAATGTATTGATTTTACAATGATGTGTGTTTTTATTGAATTTTTTTTTTGGTCTGTTTACTAGATAAGTAGTCAAAATAATGCTTCGATTTTCAACTCTAGTATCTTGTTCGATTAGAAAGTGAATATCGTTGGTTCATTGGGAGGTCACTATTTGCATTACCAGTGTGCCGTTTAACTGTTGCCGCTGGTGGTACGTACAGTCACTAAACGTACCATGCCATTCTTTCCAGGGTGTATGTCAATCATTCATACCATCTTCCACTGGAGGGGTAGAACATTATCGTCTTTTAGAATTGCCAGTTTTCCGATTTTTACATTCGCAGTAGGGTTCAGCCATTTATCCTTGCTTTGAAGTGAGGACAAGTATTCTAAACGCTACCTCTTCCAGAACATTTGAGTAATTTTTTGAACCAATTTCCATCTCTTCAGTCTGTTATCTGGCATCTCTGAGTAGTCTGCTTCTGAGTACCCGCGTAGCTATCGGGAGTTACCCTGGCGTGAGAGCTCGCAGATCTGCAGGATCTAACGAAAATGCAGTCAGTAGGCGAGAATTGAGACATGCTTTGATTTGGGCAAGTAACGTAGCCAACTCTTCAAAATTTAGAATAGCGACGCCTGCTACGCTCACAAAATGATGTTTAAACGACTTCACTGCTGCTTCCCAGATACCACCGAAATGTGGTGTGGAGGGAGGTGTGAATACCAATTGAACCCCTTCTTCTACTAGTTCTTCTGGTATAGTACAACCGGTAAGCTGCTTTTTGAAACAACACTCTATTCCCTTTCGAGCCCGAACAAAATATTTTCCGTTATCTGACCAGATGTGTGATGGCTTTCCTCGCCCCAAAAAAAATCTTTTCAACGCCGCCATAAATGCTGCGGTACTCAGAGCACTGACTGCTTCCAAGTGTATAGCTTTCATTGAGAGGCATACGAACACTGCTACATATGCTTTGGTTGTGGAAGACTTTCGTAATCCAATCTTTATCATTAGAGCTCCAGCAAAGTCTACCCCTGCTTGCGCGAATGCTTTACTGAGAGTAACTAGAGCTGAAGGTAGTTGTCCCATGGCTGGCTGCAACGAACTGGGCCTGACTCTAACACATTTAAGGCAATTGTGAACTGTTGCTCTCGCCACATCGCGTCCTCGAAGTAAACAAAATTCTTCTCTTACTGCTGCCAATAGTCCTTGTGGTCCCACGTGCATGTACCTCTGGTGATATTCTCTATATATCATCTCTGTCACCACGTGTTGCCTTGGTAGGATAACTGGATGCTTGTGGATATACTTCAGCTTTCCAGTTGTCCACCAACACTTAATAGATCATTGTCCAGGTATGGTGACAGCATTCTAAGTGTTCCACGCACAACTTGCTTCTTATTTCTTAAGGTGTTAATCTCTTCTGGAAACGCTTGCCTCTACGTTATTCTGATCCAACGCTCCTTTGACCGCTGTATTTCTGCTACTATTAATGGACCTACTTGTGTTTTGTGCATGTGGGATCCTTATGCCACTTGCACCATTGAAAAAACCTTATCCAGATGGCAGATATTCTTAGCAGCGTGGTCTAACTGGAGTGTCTATGCATTAGCTTGTTCTTAGTCGCAATGGTATTTAACGTGAATTTTACGGGACGCTTTTCTGGAGAATCTTCACTGCGAATCGAGTCATGTGGTACTTGTGGCCACAACGTTTTATCTTCCTTAAGAAAGAGTTCCACCAGAATTCAGACGTAGTTAACTCTGCAGTATTAATATCTCTCGACAATCGGTCAGCAGGATTTACACAAGTACTTACATACCGCCAACTGCTTTCATGAGTTCAATGATCTGAGCTACTCGATTACTCACGAATGTCTTCCACTAAGCAGACCCACCCTTTATCCAAGCTACTACCACTGTAGAGTCACACCAAGAAAATATCTTGTCGTTCGAGATTTCGAGGCTCGCCGATACACGACTAATTAGCTCTGCAAAGAGGTGAGCACCACTCAGCTCAAGTCTAGGTATTGTGGCTTTTCAAGATGCACACTCTGGACATCGCACGGAGAAGTCGCACACTCCATTTTCCTTGTTCCGATGTTTGTTTAAAATAGTTACATGCACCATATGTGTTTTGCGATGCGTTACTAAAGAAATGTAACTCAACTTCTTTGGACCAGCATATTTTTACCGAATGTGGTATCATTATCTGGTGAGCATTTGCTAGATCATCTACGAACCATCTCTATTGCGCTTGAGAATCTTCCGACAGTGTGTCATCAAAACCCATCTTTATCTGCCACAACTCTTGCAAGAAGATCTTTCCCTTTAGGACAGTAGGACCCAGAAATCCCAATGGATTGAATACACTATTTAGCGATGAGAGTAGGTCTCTTTTCGTTTGAACTCGGGACACTAAATGAGGCCAAGTGATTAGATTGTGTCATTGTCTCCAAGTTCTAATGAATAGTGTGGTTCACTGGATGTTGCTGCTATATCTTCTCTAACTTCTGTGGCACTAGAACACCACTTCCTTAAACTCATACCACTACTCTCTAGTAGTCCTAAGTTCTAACACCTCATGATATAGCTTTACACATTTTTACTGTGTTGTACCTTTCGGTCAGTTGTATCGCTTTAAACTTGTGACAAAAAACAGCGTGTGTGGTTGTGAACATAAACCATAGAGTGTCCGGCTTCCTTGGGTACTTAACACTAATGCACCTTTTTCATTAGTTTTGTAACCTTTTTTCTTATTGCCTATGCTAGAATTTCGTCCTTCGAAGGACTCAATGAGCTAGCCCTTCTCTCTAGAAATTCGGTTAATTGTTTGAATTTGACTTCTTCTGTCACTAAAATTGATAGGTCCCATTGTTCTAAGGTTCTTAGATCTAACTTACTCCGTGTTATACTAATGAGCAAATCATCCCACTGATCTACTGGTATTTTTAGGGATCTAAACGCTTCAATATGCTTTGTGATAATGGCTAAAAATCCAGTCACTAGCTGATTAAAATGTCAATTTGGGTAACTCTAATAACGATCTAACGTGGGCTTCAGTGATCAATATCTTTCTCTCATACCTACAATTAAGTGCTTTTATAGCTGTAGCGTATGTAGAGTCATTAATCTCTAATGCGTCAACTAAATCTAATGGTACGCACTTGAGACATGACCTTAGATAATTGAACTTGTCCGCATTCGATAAGCCTTTCTAATTTTCCACTCGGATCACAAATGAACTATAAAATCTAGGCCAACTATTATAGTCAGCGTCAAAGTTTTCTAGTGGTAGTGGTGGCAGTAATGAACGAGAGAGGGGAGTGCCTCTTGTGAATAATTCTTCCGACCGTTGAACTGATGTTTTTTGTTCTTTATTGTCATTGGCATTTCCTAAGTTTGCTTTTGTTAGTTGGATCAACCTGTTAAGTTGGGTCGCTACTCTGAAATATCAAGTTTCAAACTCTTCTCTGGCAATAAGATGAGTATCATCGTTATCGTCATCTATCTCTTCTATGCAAGACTGAATGTCCTCAAATTGATTTAATAGAGTTGGTATTATGTTGAGTCTGGACTCAGCCTCAGATATAGCATTTGGCGTTTCAACATATTTATTAACAAACGTGCTATGTTTAGTGATTGATGCGTTTATTTGAACTCTACGCCTATTTAGAGTTGATACTAAATCAGTGTTTGAAATTTCCAACAGGTGTTCATCTGCGTTGTGGTTCGACATTTTCCTTACTAATCCTTAATACATTTTAAATAATAAAAAATAAATAAATAATATAATAATATAATAAAACTCAAGGTACCGTGGAGTGCAGGAACTGGCCAGTTACCACTTGCTTATAATACTTACAGCTAACAACAATACAATGGACTTATAATAATATTTTGTACAGCATTAAGGTATAATAATAATAGCATATTATGCTAGTTACATAACATTTTGAATATAATACGCTAATATAACTATCCCTGTTGATAGAGTTAATTGAGACAAACTAATTAAATATTATGAACAATTAACTTCTTATAGTGATTATAATATATTAAGTTAAACAGGAACAAAACGCAACACTATTGTGCGTGTTTTGTTGACACTACAACTTATAACTCAATAAGCAAAAAACAGTAAACTTAACTAAATCAGCGTTAATAATTTCTTACTACTAGCATTACAATTAACATTACATATATACTGTTATTACAAAAAACAAAAATGTATTAAAGGTGATACACACTTGATGATAAAGCGTCCAACCAAGTGGTTGATGGAGCGTAGGTGCCGGGCCTACCACTAGAGCGCAGCACATAATTGTTCACGCTTGAACACTTCTAAAGTATACTATTATATATCTTTTATAGTATCACAGTTTGTTGTTGATATATAACAAGTTATAAGTACCTAATGGCTATTGTGATATCTATGATTAATTTGGAATTTAAAATAGGTCAATTTTTTTTTTAATACCATAGATAAGTATTAAGTATATAATATGTCTTATACATAGACTGACATACCGTCTCCACTCAGAATCATTTTTCTTATACAATGATATTATATCATTGAATTCAAATGTAATACCATCCATTATACAGTGACCAAATTGTAACCTACTCTACAGCAGAGCACCTTTTTTTTAACTACAAAATCAGTTTTTAATTTGATAAATGTTGTCAAAAATCGAACTTAAAAACCTTAAAAAAAATTGTGCCAATGTATTTTTAATATTTTTTAACTGCTATTAAGCAATTTATCAAGAGTTTTTTTTTACATTTTGACGCTTTTTGACCATTACAAATAAAATTTCATTGATATTTATAAAGAAAAAACTAATAAAATTGAAATATGAAATTGTCCGTAAACAAGTCAAAATATTTTGAAAATGTTATCAATTATAGGAATTTATAAAATAAACATAATATGATATAAAACGTCTACATTTATTCATTTTTTAATTACAACAAAATAAGAAAATCGCTTCATGAGAAATCGAGTATTGTAAAAATTTTAACTTCAAACACTCATAAAAATGTAATTTGAATTTATAGTAGAGATTTTTTTTCTTATAAAACTAGACAAACTTATGAGGAATCTTGTATTACATTTTATCTTGGATAGGTAATAGAAAATTTTTTATGAATTCTCAACTCAAAATAATTTGTTTAAATAATTCGTCAAGATTTTAACTTTAAATGCTTATAATAATAATATACTGTAACTAAGGGTTTTTCGTATTTTTCAATTGGCATTGCAACAATATATTTTTAGCCTTGCATTAAATATTAAGCTTTTTTACCTAACAAATAAAATTTTATTACATTTTATTGACAATTATAGAAGAAAAAACTAACAAAACTTAAAATTGATAATGTCCGTAATGATCAAGACAAGTCAAAATATTTTGAATATTTCATGGTGTATAGAAAATGCTAATATAAATGTTCAATGAAAATTTCATGTATCTAAGGTCGTTATTTTTAGAACTAAGACAAAAACCAAAATCTTTTTTGTCAAATACCGATTTTCAGTAAAATTAACCGATATTGCCTAAAAATTCCAGTTTTTCCACAATTTATTTTTGTTTTTTTCTGCGCTTTTGAAAACTACTGGGAATTTTGAATTTTGACCTCCTCAATGCATCAATTAGATTCTTAATGACTCTAAATGCTTTCCCATCAAAGCATTATTTCGACTATTTATTGTGTACACAGATGGAAAAAAAATTTTTAAAATAAACAGTAAACACACATTATAAAACCAGTACATTTATCGCTCCCTTAATAATCTAATATTAAGAAAAAACTGAGATTGAAAACCAGTTTTCGAAAAAATCGGTTTTGATTTTTGGTGTTACTCTAGAAAAATATACCCTAGATACACGTGATTTTTACTGAATATTTATATTAGCACTGTCTATGCAACAAAAAATTTTCAAATTATTTTGATTCATGTTGAGCTATTTGTAAGCATAAGAAAATTTCGATAATTTTAAGATTTTTCTTATTTAAAAATAGAAAGTAGAATTACACTAGTAATTCACTAGTAGTAAACACTAATCTATTTAGAAAAGTACTAGAATATTTTACTTTTGACCCCCAAAGTACCATCTGAATGCAATCTCATATTATAAATTTCTAGTTAAAATTTTAATTTCATTATCACAATCTAAATTTGTATTACCCGTATTAATTTCGATACGAAACGTCTCATCATTCGCCGTTCTGTCATGTGTAAAATATTGTATTACTGTAATCCCTATAAAAAGTCTGGTAAAATTACCAATAATCTGTAAAAGTATAAAACAGTTTGTAATGCACAATTATAATATCGGTATAATATAAATATTTCGTAAATGTCTGTAATGACAACATTTAAAAGCCCACAAAGTACATACTATTAAATAAATTTGTATTTTTCACTAAAAACAAACGTCCTTAAACCGGATGTACTAAAAAAGGTTTCAAATAAAAATTGTAGACTTTAAAATTATGTACAACATGGTTATTTTATGAGTATATGTAATTTCACTTGCAGTATTCACCATTAAGAAAATTACGAATACATAATTATAGTAAAAATACATTCATTTCCACACCACCATTGAGGTAGACAGTTATTGGTATTTCCAATTTTTTTTTTTTTGGTGGGGGTGGTCCAATCATTCCGACATAATATATAGTTAGCTACTGATTTAAAGAAATAATTTTTTATAGATCATAAGAATAGAAAATAGTTTTTTATTATATTTTAATAGGTATTTTAAATTTCATGGGCTAATTTTAACACAAGTAGGTATATTTTATAATTTTAAAGTACAAAATCTAATAGGATTTTTTTTTTACAATGTTCATCCAAAATTTTTTGTGGTTAAAGAGAATCTTTTAAATTTTAGAAATATGATATTATGACAATAATACTCACTAATCTCTAACAGAAAATAAATAGGACGTAGGTAAACATGGTCCTAAATGAAAGCTATTATTGTCGGCCAGTAAACGCCTCGTAAATTACATTAATGTTTTAGCTATTATTAAAAATAATATATTCCTTACGACTCACATCAGTACAATGAGCAAATATTATTATTTACTAATTTAATATATATATTACAGCGTAATAGATATCATCTATTTTATTGAAATGTATATGAGGTGTACTTGTAGCCTCTGCCGTCGTTCGGTAACGAAATGCAAACACGAAGTAAATGATTCGATTGAATTGCTTACAATCAAAAATTCAAATAGATGAATAATAGCTACCTATAGAAATAGTTTATTGGAGAATTATGTGTGTCGTCAATTTCTTGCAATGTTTCGACTGTTTCGAGAATTATTGATGATTATCTAATACGGGTATTTTATAAAGTAGTAATAGGTAGGTACCTGGTACATACAATACAAGGAAAAGTTTAGCTACGCTTGGCGGCGGATTTTTGAGCGTTCAACAGAGTCCTTCAGCTTTTTGTCAACTTCATATAAATATTTTGGTCACTTGAAAAAACCATGTCTGCGCCATGTCACCCCCCCCCCTGCCACCTAATAAATAGAAGCTATGCGTGGTTTCTTTTACATGGTTTTCCCTGTAGGCAGTGGTTGATTTGGAAAAAAAAGAGAAGGGGGACTCTGCAGATGTTGGATACACGAGCGTTCCACACAAAATTAACTGTACCATTACTGTGGAGAGCAAAGCCGTTAATTATCAAATGTCTTTAGGCTCACTCACTTTTCACGTAGCACCGTTGAAGGACATTATGGTTATTGCGAATCTATGGCATAACCACAAATAATATTTTAATGTATCAATATGTGTGCATAATACAATTTATTATGAGTGATAAGTGATAAGTGATAAGTGATCTGTGATCACGGACTAAGATATCCAGTCGACTACGAAATGTAGTACAACAGAAGGAGTCCGGGGGGATATTTTCCTTTTAGTATTACTAAAGACCGCCGTCTTAGTGGATACGTCTTATGGAACTAGAAATTTGTATGATGTGTTCACTAAGACGGCGCTAGTAATGATAAAAGGAAAATAACCTGCCAAACTCCGCCTGTTTTACTAAATTTCGTAACCACAATATTCATCTCGTGTCCAGTCCTGTATATCCTAGTCCGTGTCTGTGATACTAATAATTATTATTTATCACTTTATTTTTTTGATGAGGAATTTTCGTACAAGGTCGATACAAATATATAAATATTGTGACTATCTATAATCAGTAAATTTGGCATTAAAAAATGTTTCACAAATTGACTTATTTAGACTGCCTCCTTTCGTCATAAATAGAAGGGATACCTATGATAAAAAAAATTTTAAAAGAAGTTGGAATCAGTCCCCCCGAGTACCCACAAAAACCAACCACTGCCTGTAGGCGTAGTCCATTTACACCGTAAAAATTAAATAAATATAATATTTAAATGCATTTTTATTATCGTTATGTACTCATAATTTTCTTAATGGTGAATATTAGAAGTGAAATTGCATATATACATTTAAAAAAAATCTAAATTGTAGATAATTTTCTCCTCTACAATTTTGGTTTGAAACTGTTTATCGTACGACCACCAACAAGCAAGATATTAAAGAAAGACTATTTTCGTATCCTTTGCCCTCAAATAACCTTTGACGCACACATGATTTCGTGGTCGACTTTTTACACATTGTTTATGCCGATATTATAAAGGTATATGCCAAATTTCAGCTTGATGGGAATTTTTCCGTTCAGAAGTTACGTTTTTCGTCTAATTTGACTGGGCTAAAACGGCAAATCGCTTCGCCAACTCCTAACCATTCACGACATCAGCAGACTACAACATAATGTATATGTACCTATATATTATTATATTATAACAAGCCACGAACACCAGACCAATGTCCTCACGGACACCGGCCGGTCTAATATTTTGTGCTCCCCGCCAAACTTGTTTCCATGGGGTTGTAACTTAAAAATCCTAACTCACAGAACTCCCTAATGTTGTCAAAATCTTATCACTTTGTAGAAATTAAAACAGCCAATCAATATTAAATTAATATTTAATTAAACTACAGACTAGTTAATTATATAATTAAACAAATGTACCCTCATTTGAGTTTCCTTCCGTAAATCATATTTACTAAACCAATCGATACAAATAGGAGCAAATCCATAACTTAACAGAAGTTTGTTTGCTAACACAATTACTACCATATTTGTTTGCGTATTATTTCCAGCAATAGCAATATCTTTTGTAGTCCTGTAAATCATTGTTACCTGCACAATTGTTGTAATTTATGTAACACATGACATACATATAACTTGCAGACTTTAAATTATTAATAACTTACATTGATTAATGGTTCATAATCTTCAAATAATATTCCCTGTACTATAGGACCAATTTTATATTGTTTTCTTAGTATATGATCCTCAGCCATCTGAAACAAATATTTACCACCTAAACACATTATTAAATTAATTTTGATTCTCCCGTAATTACATTGTGCAAGGACCTTACAGGAAATTGCTATATTTGGAGCAATTATCGATGCCGGTTCAATAAATAAAAATATTTTTTCCCCTTTGTAATTTTTATTCTCTTCATACACAGCAACTGCCCAAGGTGCTAATTCAATAATTGATTTATCAGCTTCTTCGGGTGTTACTTGGTTTTTCATATTATGTACTCTTCCACAATCTAAAACAATATTAGACATATTACTAGTTGTATCATTAAAGATCCATATTTGTATTCATATGCGTTTATATGAAATCGTATAACATAGTTAATATACAAATATATAAATATTATTATATTTGATAAAGCAATTATTTTATACCCATGGTCATATTTGTTTCAAACTCGTATAAAGCACACAACTCTTTGGTCTCATCTGAACCATCGGAACAATCCTCATGACCATCACAAAGCAACGACCATTCGATAAACTGTCCATTTGGACAATTAAACTTATCAACAGTGTTTCTATAATTGTATTCAAATGAGCAACAAATTATTATTTAATACTTATTATACAATTATAAGCCAATATAAAAGCATTACGAATATAAACATTAAACAATTAGTATAAAATATATGCAAGATAATAAATACATAAATTCGATTGGAGACCATTAAATGTTACGTTTCATGTCAAAATCTGATGTCGCATGCGTAGTCAAAAGTTTAACTATAGAAAAAAAAATGAGAGGATTGTAGATAAATTTAGTATTAACATTATAAAAATTTAAAAAAAGGAGTTTTGATCTATCTGATCACATAATGGCGATGTGTAGTTAGTACTTATAGAATACCTAATATTAATTATAGATCGTATATTGATTGATGGTGCTTATTAAGACATTAGGGTTCTAACTCTCAAGAGCCTTAACTACCACTATTTTTGGCACTTATAATAACATAAAATGTATTTATACTACAGTCACCAACTCTGATATAGATGATACAGCTTGTCGTCTTTCAAGTTTTCTTTCACACAGGATGCCAGTTCCTGAAATAATGTAGATATTGTTATGCATTAAAATATCTATAGAAGACATCCCTGTCAATCCATATTATTATAGGCAATTTTTAAAAATTAAAACTATTTTATATGATTATTGAAATTATTATTATATTAGGTATAATACAATTAATATTTATATACGTAAAAAATGTCGTTTGTTTTTTTTTGTAAATTATATTAAAGTACCTTCATTTCACATTTAAATGATATAACTATATAGTATATAATTACTTTATTTTGAATTTATTTTTTAGATTTATTTTTCGTAATTTTTCAAGCTGCTTGATTTTTCGTTTTATTACTGAAATTATTATTATATATAGATACTAGATAGCTTTATTATACAATAAATACATATCGGTACAGGGTGAAACAGAAATAATTAATTATCGAAGAATACTATTGTTATAATCAATATTTCATAATATTTTCTTCTAATTTCTATTTTTATATTAACTATAGAACTTATCCCTACATATTTTTCATTTTTATAACTCGAAACTGAAAAAAAAAAGTTTAAATTTGATTCAAATTAATAAAATATATCAACAATATTTCCATGGTAAAAATGTTTGTAAAGTCAAGTAGTTTTCTCCAATTTTTTTTTTTTTTTGTAGTAAGTTAAATTAAAATTTACATGCCTAATAACTTTTTTCAAAATGAAATTTTTATGAATTTCCTAACATAAGTGTATTTCTTAAATTATTTATTATCCACATAACTGTCATAATTTTTGTAATTTGTTTAACTGTATTGTTATAATAACTATGGCATCAATTATTTTTAGATCTTTCAGTTACACTACGTCAAGTAGGTATATTGTATATATACATATATATTAATATGTATATACAGTGCGATTCTTTTATCATTTAATACTCATTATTTCAATAAGTGTAATTGTGTTTGAAAATATTATGTTACATTGTTTCAAGTCATTTACGAAACAACGTTTTTATTAAAAAGTAATATTTTCAAATATTTTTTATCCTTATAGTTTTTAGATTCTGAGCGGAGCGATGAATGTATTGGTTTTACAATGATGTATGTTTTTATATTTTAGATTCTGAGCGGAGCGATGAATGTATTGGTTTTACAATGATGTATGTTTTTTTTTATATTTTTATATTTTTATATTTTTGTGTCTGTCATCACGTTTTGGGACAGTAAAAGTGCTTCGATTTTCTTCAATAGTACCTTTTCTGATAGGAAAGTGAATCTAGTTGGTACTTTGGGGGGTCAAAAGTAAACATTTTCCAGTAGTTTTCACAAGCGCCGGGAAAAACAACATAAAAATTAAGGAAAAACGGGAATTTTTACGCAAAATCGATTTTCCAAAAAATCGAATTTGGTTTTGGTGTAACTTTAAAACAAATGACCGTAGATACATGAAATTTTCACTGGTTGTTTATATTTGCATTTTCTATACACGATAACATTTTCAAAATATTTTGATTTATTTTGAACTGTTTAGGGACATTTTCATTTTTCATTTTTTTTTAGTTTTTTTTCTAGAAATATCAATAAAATTTTATTTGTTGGTTGCGAAAGCTTGAAAATTTAATAGAAGGCTCCTAATATGTTGTTTCAAAGGCAGATGAAAAATATTAAAAATCCTTAGTCACAATTTTTTTTTATAAGCATTTAAAGTTCAAAAATTGACAAAATATGGAAAAATCACGAAAATTAGCAAATTATTTTGAGTTAAGAATTCGTAAAAATTTTTCTTTTTAAATCTAAGATTTGAAAATGAAACACAAGATTCCTTATAAGATTATCTACCTTTATCAATAAAAAAATCTCTACCGGACAGTCAAGTTAAATTTTTATGAGCGTTTGAAATTAAAATTTTTACAACATTGGATATTCACTCGATTTCTCATGTAGCGATTTCCTAATTTTGTTGTAATTCAAAAACGAACAACTGTAGATACATGAAAATTTCACTGAATGTTTAAATTAGCAATTTCAATGCACTGTACAATTTTGAAAATATTTTGACTCTTTTTGAGCTGTTCACGGACATTTTCAGTTTTCAATTTTTTTAGTTTTTTTTCTATAAATATCAATAAAGTTTTATCTGTTGGGCCAAAAAGTGTAAAAATTTAATACAATGCTCCTGATATATTGTTACAATAGCAGTTGAAAAATATTAAAAATACATTGGCACAGTTTTTTTTTATAAGCATAATTAATTTTTAATTCATTATAGGTCAATTTTTTTTAATACCATATAGATAAGTATATAATATGTATTATACCTAGAGGGACATACCGTCTCCGCTCTGAACCATTTTTCTTATACAATGATATAATATCATTGAATTCAAATGTAATACCATCCATTATACAGTGACCCACTTGTAACCTACTGTACAGCAGAGCATCACCCACTTGCCCACCTTTTGAAATTTGAAATTTGATAAATTTTGTCAAAAAGCGAACTTTATATGCTATAAAAAAAATTGTGCCAATGTTTATTTAATATTTTTAAACAGCTATCGTAACAATATATCAGGAGCCTTGTACTCATTTTTATCAAACAAATACATTTTATTGATATTCATAGAAAAAAAAACTAAAAAAAGGTGGGCAAGTTGGTGTCGCTCTGCTGTACAATAGGTTACAAGTCGGTCACTGTAAAATGGATAATATTACATTTGAATTCAATGATATTATATAATTGTATAAGAAAAACGATTCTGAGCGGACACGGTATGTGCTTCTAGGTATAAAACATATTATATACATATCTATGGTATTAAAAAAAATTGACCTATAATGAATTCCAAATTAATCATATCACAATATCCATTAGGTACTTATAACGCGTTATACACCAACAACAAACCCTGATACTATCATAGATATATAGTAGTATATTTTAGAAGTTACAAGTACCCACGAATAATATTATAAAATCACAACAAAATAACTAAAATATTTATTCTAGGTTTTTTATTATGTAATTTCGTCCAAATTTGAATTTAAAATGTCTGTAAAAATAACTGTGTTCAAATATTTTTTAGATTTTTTGGTTACAGTATGAACCATTAATGAGAACCTTTGTTTTAAATTTACAATCCTTAGCTATGAAAACTGAACATTTTATAATTTATTAATTACAATGATTGATAATTTTCGAGATTTTGATAAATGTTGTGAAAATTCGATCTTTCAATGCTTATAAAAAAAATTGTGCCTATGCATTTTTAAAATTTTTCAATTGTTATTGTATCAATATATCTGGAGCCTTGTATTAAATGTTTACACTTTTTGGCCCAACAGATAAAACTTTATTGATATTTATAGAAAAAAAACTAAAAAAATTGAAAACTGAAAATGCCCGTAAACAGCTCAAAAAAAGTCAAAATATTTTCAAAATTGTACAGTGTATTGAAATTGCTAATATGAACATTCAGTGAAATTTAAATGTATCTACAGTTATTCGTTTTTGAATTACAACAAAATAAGGAAATCGTTATATGAGAAATCGAGTGAATATCCAATGTTGTAAAAATTTGGTTTTCAAACGCTTATAAAAATTTAATTTGACTTTCTTATAGATATTTTTGTTTTGATAAAAGTAGATAATCTTATAAGGAATCTTGTATTATATTTTCAAATCTTAGATTTAAATAGAAAAATTTTTACGAATTCTTAACTCAAAATAATTTGCTAATTTTAGATTAGCATACGCCAGGACACACATACACACATATTATATATTACATTATTATAATAATGTAAATTCAAAAATTCAATCTGAGAAAAATTGAAAACAGAATTTGTGTAGTAAGTTAAATTTAAATTAATCAGTTTGAAAAATCTTGTTATCAAAATGACAAATTATTATTGTTTTGATTAAATGACCGGTTCATATATTGTAAAATTGTATCCAAAACTCTTGAATTTAGATATATACATTTATTTAAATTGTTGTGTATATTTTATACCTATTTAATTATAATGATTATTACACTAAAATAATGTCTTAAGGAACGCTACCCATACATTTGTTGTCTCTGTCTTACACACGCACGACATAGCAAATTGTCGTTCACTAGTTTTAAGACTAGACACTTAGTTTTGATACTAGAGTGAATTGGCCTATTATAACATGTTTAGATAATAACATTATCTGTGCTTAAGCATTGGCTTTTATTCGATATTTTGATTTTCAAGAGAGATATGAGCATTTTCAATTTTTGATATTTCACATACACATATCTTACTTGAAAATGAAAATATTGAAAAATCCCCAATGGGTAAGCACAGATAATATTCTTACCTAAAAGTATGATGATAGGTCAATTCACTCTAATATTAAAACTAACAACACACTATTTAAACTATTTTCTATGTCGTGATTGGGTAGCGTCCTCTTAAAAATATAATTTGTACCTATACGTACCGAAAATCAAACATGAATATATGATCCAGGAATACGTCACCTTCATTGCCAATGTTAATATGAGACTAAAGCAAATATATTTTTAAAATATAACTAATTAATGTTTATCGATAAGTTATGAAAAATTTAAGGAACTATGTATAATGTATAACAATAGTTTACTGTACCTACTACCTACATATTATTCTTAAAATATGTAAGTATAGGAAAATATATTATAATAATACAATGTACCTATATCAAAACACGGAGAATATCTGTAGAGAATTTGTTAATTTTTTACTTAATCAGAAACACTAAGTGAGACAAAATAGAAACGAGACCAACAAAATACAACTTTACAGCACTAGAATTCTGACACACACTGTCGGGACTTCTAAAAATCTCACCTTTTATCGCATGATGCTGATATGTATTCATTTTTTTAATTATGGACCTTACACTATGTATACGATCACGTGTTCAACCAATAGAAAACTACTCAGATATAGGTGGTAAAGAACAAAATATGATTTAGCAATTTAAAATTGATTATAATATAGGTAATATATATATTTTTAATATAGGTAGTAGGTACATATATTATACGCTACAAAAATAATTGTTATATTTTAATATAATTTTAAAACAAAGTTCCCGGTGGTCTGGCCTATTGGGAATTGCCATTTTCTGACGGATGCATAATGAAAAATTTTTTTAAATACCTAATTAGTATTTATTAATTATTTCTTTTCACTAAAAAAATATAATTATTAGTTGCGTTTGAAAAATAACAAATATTGCGTATTATTCAAATGCATATTTTAACTTCTATGAAAATAATTTTAAAAATCAGACTGATTCTACCTCAAAAATGTTGTCTTTTTTAAAATAAATAAAAAATTGACGTAAACCAAAGCTTGAAAATGTAATACAAAGCTCCTGATATATTGTTACAATAGCAATTGAAAAATATTAAAAATACATAAGCACAATTTTCTTTTATAAGCATTTAAATTCAAATTTTGACAAAATTTATCAATTTTAAAATTTATTAATAATTTTGTAGTTCAAAATTTATAAAATGTTCAACTTTTATAGCTAATGATTGAAAATTTAAAACAAGATTAAAATTAAGTAGTTAATTCTGTTACCGAAAAATCTAAAAAATACATAAGCACAGTTTATTTCAGTCATTTTAGGTTCAAATTTGTATGAAATTACATAAAAAAAAACCTAGAATAACTATTTTAGTTATTTTGTGGTGATTATATAATATTATTCGTGGATAATTGAAACTTCTTGTACAGGCGAGGGTCTTCAAATAATATGAAAGGTTTCCCGACACCTAACACTCTAAAAGGAATGGACTGTATGCTGAGGAACTCTTCTTACACACAACCTTACTTGTAGACGGAGGATGTGCCTACAGCAAAATTTATAAAATGTTCAACTTTTATAGCTAATGATTGAAAATTTAAAACAAGAATCCACGTAGTTATAGGTTATATATAAATTACTTTATTCACATTAGTATTGTAGCGATCTGTGACTAAGTATTTTAGCTGGTGTCTGTTCGAGGTGAGGCTGGTTGCTGGTCTGATGAACGCTTGTCCATCAGCTCTCCTCGATGGGTCTCTCCAGTCCCTTCCACAGATTCACATGACTTTACATGATCATCCTGCGGTTAGGCCTATCGTGGGATTTGTGACACGGTCCCCGTTCTGGCTATTTGTGATCTCATTTAATATAACACCACAAATCTTCATCCACAGTATTTTAGAATTATTTATATACGTAGTCATATATCTATTGCCGCGCGCCGTTCATGGTCATGCGTTCGATATTATTATCTTCGCGCTGTATATATGATGTCGTCGCTCCACTACACACGTACTGTATAGTAGTGTATAAATTGGTGCCAGCGATATTATTATTATTATTATTACTAACGTTTACGCGAGCAACGCTCGCGTATTACAATTATATTATATTTACGCGGCGTGTCTATTATATGATTACGTACCTACATAATATTAGAATGAGATTTATATTGTTATTTAAGAAATAGTGACAGTTCGCTACGGTATCATCAAATATACTTCGTAATATCATAGACTGCAGACTAACCGTTTTGGTTCAGAATCGTTTTTCTTATACAATGATATTATATCATTGAATTCAAATTTAATACCACCCATTATATAGTGACCCACTTGTAACCTACTGTATAGCAGATCACATTTTTTTTATTTACTTTTTTTTTTTTGGTTCTATCATTAAGGTTTGGGGAAGTAAAACTGCTTCGATTTTCTTCAACAGTATCTTGTTCGATGGGAAAGTGAATCTAGTTAGTCATTTTGAATTTTAAGATTATCATTAGTTTTAAAAAGCGCCGGGAAAAACAACATAAAAATTAAGGAAAAACGTGAATAATTACTCAAAATCCGTTTTTGACAAATCGATTTTGGTTGTTGGTGTAACTTTAAAACATATTAATGTATATACATAAAATGTTCACTGGTTGTTTAAATTTACATTTTCTATACACGATCAAATTTCCAAAATATTTTGTTTATTTTGAACTGTTTAGGAACATTTTATTAGTCCTTTTTTCTATGAATGTCAATAAAATCTTTATCCGTGGGGTAAAAAAGCTTGAATGCACGAATGTGCACTTGTGAAAAATAAATATTATTAATAATATAGGTACTCACCAATGATAATAATATGATAATATTACTATTTAACTGTATATTTTATCTGCCTTGTTTCTTCGACGACGATTAAATAAAAAATTATTCAAATGCGATTGATATGATATAATATAATTGTACATGGACAATTGAGATCCAACGTATTAATATGTTAAAAAAACATCATTGTAATATTATATTAACATCTAAATATAGGTACACAAAGTTCCGCTGGAAAAACAAGTAACACAGACACACGAATGCACGGAGCCGCAAGATAAACATATAAATTGAAAGTATACTGTAATAGGATAATAATAACATAATATTATTTAAACATATACATTAGTACCTGTATAGTTATCATCATCGGTCACACTACTTTAATAATTATTACCATATATTTTATTTGATACATTCGTTACCAGTGGTGCTATAAGTATAACAGTTTTATAAATAACTAAAAATATAATAGGATAATATGTACATTATTTAAAACCAAATTTATTTTCTTTCTTAATTAGTTTAGGACCTAATATAATATTAAAATAGTTCATAACGAACCACGTATTTTTGCTTGTCAAATTCCCTTTATAATTCATCAAAATTAAAGATTGAATTTTTTTTTTTTTTTTTTTGGTTTTGGGGGGTCTGGACACCTCCCAAACCAAAAAAAAAAAAATATGCAACTGGATATCATAAGAATTCTTATAATTTATTAATATAGTGTATAGTGTATCAATCTGGTAGTCAGATCAATCATACATTAAAAGTATTTAAAACAATTTAATAAAATAGTAATAAATTATCCATAAAGTATCGCAATTCAAAACTCGTAATGTACAATAATACAATATACTAGGTACCTATGTACAAAAATAAAAGGATCAATATTCGTTTTTTCATTAAGTAATTAAAATCCATGGCTTGTTTCTTCAAAAAAAAAAATTGTGTTAATGTTTCTTTGTCAATTGCTTTTTCATTTATTTGTGCATGATGCGTTTATATGCATTCTTAGCTTTAAAATTACTTCGAAAAAAACGTAAAGCATATTGTTTTATTTTATAAGTCGACAAATATACTTCGAACCACATTGATTAAAATCATATTATGCATACAATAAAATTGAGGCGCAAGTTTTGGATAAATAATGCGGATTGGCAAGATAATTATGAAACGAAGTTTTTTATGGCACGATGCGGAACTCAGAGTTGATTAAAAACATGATTTTTTTAAAAAAATCAAAAAAATTGTTTTAATCGTTTAAAACATGATTTTTTTGTTTAAAACATGTTTTTTTAAAATGATTTTTTTAGCTGTTTTAAACATGTTTAAAACATGATTTAATCGAGTTTAAAACAAAATATGTAATTTATTTAAAAAAAAAATCATTTATTTAATAATTTAATATCATAATTTTTTTATAACTTGACGTGTAATTTAACCACGGCTATCGGTTTTACACTTAAAAATCGTTTTTGAATATTTTGATAATGATTGATGATAAAGAACTGATCTGTTATCTAAATCGTGATAAAGAATACTGATTACTGTATTTACTATTTTAAATTTTGGTGGGTTTGCGCCACAATATTTCCGATTATAAAATATGATAAAGGTAAAAAACATTAAATAATAATATGATATGATATCAATGAAATTTAATTTTGATGTTATTGAGTTATTCTTCTGCATCTGACATTACTACAATACTACATTAGCGACAGTGTGAAACAAAATAAAACTTAAAAGATAAAACACATGTTCACGGGACGAAGACGTGATGACATTTGGAAATATTATAGTGAAGTTTTTAATAAATAAATAATTAATAAATATATTACCTACAGAACTACAGAAATAATATATTATATAACCATTGAAGTGTTAGTAATTTAAATAAGTAAAATTATCATTATATATTTAATAAATTTTAAATTTGTTTATGAATTAAAAAATAATAATAAATAGGAGTTGCCAGTACGAACTTACAAATAATAAGTTGTATGCGCATAAATTATGATTTTCTGTTTTAAACTAGCTGTTTTTTTTATGTTGTTTAAATCATTTGTTTTAAACGTTTTAAACAAAACCATGTTTGATCAATTTAGATGTTTAAAACATGTTTTAAACAAGTGTTTAAAACAAAATGTTTTAAACATCTCAACTCTGGCGGAACTAGCCGGGAAAAAAACGTTCCTGACGAAATGCTATAATTTATAATATACTAAACGGTTATTTTAGCTAAAACATCTAATTTTTATTCCATCATACTGATCGATCTTGTAATGTGATAATACTTTTTAAAACATATTTGAATTCGTTATTATGTCTACTTGAGATTGGTAAGTCCACTTTTCCAAATTTCACCACCCCAACCTCTAAAAAAT